AAGGCCTCTCTATCTTGGTTATCCATCAGTTGAAGAGTTGCAGGTGGAGGTTAGTGAAAATTTGGGGGCCTGCCAGCCCATTAAGCTAAATGGGCCTTAAAGTTAGGCTCATCCCAGCTCGGCAAGCCAAAAAAGTGGCCCTTACCTGGCCCATGTTGGACCTTTCCATTGAGGGTTGAGGGGCCCTTTTTGCATCACGTTGATTGGAAAGCCCCATAAACAGGGCTCATCAAGCCTTCATGCTTAAGGACTGGGCTGAAACCGTTAAGCTAACAACCCTTAAAAGGCCAACTTGGCCTGACATACCTTATTAAGGGGCCTGAACCTGGCGTGCCTGACCAGTGCAGCCCATTTTCACCCCCAGTGATAATGTTCAGTATGCATGGAGTGGACCAGTAAAGTCCTTGTCCAGAAAGATATCATGCTGGTGCAGTTACCCTCCTTAAAATTAACGTTTACAATGCTTGAAAGTGATGTATAGGGCTTCATAAAGTCCTGGTTGAATTCCAAAAGAGAAATTGGAAATCAATCACTTCTTGCTAATCAGATTAATGTAAGCAGTGTATAAATATCCATTTCCTAGCTCAAGAAAACTTCCCGACCCAAGTAGACTTATAAACTCAACTTGTTTTGGCAGCTACCATGTCGACCTCCCGAGTTTAAGTTTTAAACACTGAATTAACTACTAACATTTGCTTTTGCTAGAAAACAACTTAAACTGTTATGATTTGATGTTTGCCTTACGTCAACCTTAAAATTGCCAATCCAACTTTGAATTGTCCAAGTTGGATTGGCGATTCCACTTTGAAAAACCCTGTGATCATCCTAATTCTTCGGTTTTCATATTTTTATTTTGGTTTCGTAGTTTCTTTGCTAAGGCTAGAGAGTTTTGACTCCTGAATCAGCAAGTTGGACATGGCAGATTGGAATTTTGATTTTTGAGTAGCTGAAATGTTTAAGCATTGTCCCTTCAATTAAATCATTAAAAATTTCAACATATGTGGGTAAGGGGTATGGTATACGCACAATATACTTGATTATACATGGGCAGCAGCACATCTACCGTCCATTAAAAAATTGGATACGATATGATTGGCCAAGATTTGATATGATGGTTCATCGTCCCTTTCTTGAGTCTTGAAAGGAAGGTGGATTCGCTGCTTGTAACTCGTGTATGCTACATGCTTCTTGGAGAAGGGTTTGGATTTTGCTGAAATTTTGACAAATGATATGTATTTTGTGAAAATTAGTAGACAATTCATGAAAAAAGTATATTAAAATAGGCAATTTGTCAAAAATTCCCAAAGGTAACCTTTATTGTAAGAACTTTTTTTTAATGCTCAAACCATAATGATCAGAAACCAATTCCTTAATTAATCAACTTCCAAGGGCCTTGTCCTTTATAAATTAGGGCTATATTTCTCTGTGTATCCAAACGGTCTTTATATGTTTCTGGAGCATTTTAATCAGATGGTTTGGTTGTAAGTCAATCACAATGTCATACATTAATTATGACTTAACAAAATCAATATATATTAGCCCGTGACATTGTTTTGACTCATTCTCAAATCACCTGATCAAAGATCAGACAACCATGAGTCTTGAAATCGAATGTATGGAAAAACAAAAAGATTTTCTTGCAATCTAATTCATGTTTTTAGGAACATTGAACTTTCCCCCATCAGCCATGCTTGGCCACGCCTTGATAAAATAAATGGAACTAAAGGGCTTCCCACTGTTAACATAAAATACAACCAAAAAAAAGGAGAAAAAAAGAAGAAAGAAAAGTCCTTCATACAACTGTCCAAGTAAATTAGTAGTTGCAGGAAAAGCACATCACATCTCTTGAGCTATTCCTATTGTATAGCATACATGCAAGAGCATTCTATATACTTACTCCCTCTATTATTCATGTTGTCGTATAGCATACACATGCAAGAGCATTCTATATGCTTACTCCCTCGGTTATTTATATAGGAAGGTTTATTTCATGTTAACTTTTTGGATCTACTTTGAAGTCAGATAAAAGAGTATTTTCAGGAAAAAAAACATAGTTTGGTCTTTAGTTCTTAACTATGTAGATCTGAGCATTCAAAAATTAGGATATCTTCATTCAATATTAGGACGCTTATTTTGCCACTTTTGAGCCGTTTGTCTGTTTCCCCAACCCTGGCCTATGAGGTGATTGCACAAGTAACGGTGTGTTATAGTGGCGTCAATGGGTACTTGAGCGGGTTTTGGAGTTCTTTATGGGGATTTCTATAGAAGTTGTCTACCATGGCTTAGTTGAGGTTTCTTGGCAGATGATGGTGTAGAATTTTTCAAGGTTAATATTATGTTGTGTCAAGGTATTTATGGTTGTAGGAAGTACAATTTATATTTATCTATTTCTTTCTCTGTTTTCTTTTTATACTTACGGAGCTTTACTCATTTTAATTAATAAAATTAACACTTAACTATCAAAAAATTATCAGGGCACTTATAATTTCATAATCCATTGGATCATGTAGTAGTTTCCTTCTTAAAAAAAAATAGAAGATGCTCGTCGTTTTCCATGGAGGTTTCATGTCCTTTGGGAATTAGGAGTTCTCGAAAGCAGCCAAAACGAGTTTTCCGGCCGCCCAACCCAGACCTAGTATTAAGTGCCAAGTGCCGGCCAATACACATTAAAATATTTATTCATGGGCACGTTTGATACCTAGAAGTTTCAATTTTAAAATATAGAGGTTTCGATTTAAGGATGTAAGCCTATTTAATTTTAATATAAAGAGATCACAATTACTTATAATCAATGATGCAATATCCAATAACTTGGGTGTGTTACAAAGTTCGAGAAACTTTGAATTTGGTCAATAAAATAATTGTAGCTACTCATTTTCCATCCAATAGTCGAAATTAATTGTGACAGCCTTGTATCAAAGATAAATGATCTCATTATTTATGTTTTTTTATTATAACACTTTTTGCATTCATAAAAGTGTTATAAAAAATTAATTTTAAATTGTTTTCAATCCTGAAATTTTTTTTTATCAAGATATACCTTAACCTCTTAACAATTTAACACTTTTTGCAACTATTGCAACGCATGGCGATGTTTATTATGATGGGTATTCTAAATTAATTGAAAATATGTGGATAAAATGTTAAATAATTGAACCCCTTTTTCATATTCCAGTGGTCCTATCAAAGAAATAACCGAATCAATAAAAATAAACTTTTATGGGTATCTTGATTAAAAAACAGGGAAAATTACGTAGAAATCGGTTATAGTTTACGTTATTACGGTTATATCAAATAGTTTTCGTTATTACGCAACTGTTCATTTTTTATCTTCCATAACGCTACTTTTTTAAAAGATAACTTTGCCCATTTCTGATGTTCAACATCAAAATTTCTCATATTTTTAGATGTTAAATATTCGAATTTAGCCATAGGTCAAATGATGCTTTTTCCCATTTTCGGATGTTCAACATCCGAAAATGATCGATAGTTGAGCAAAAAAAAAACCTCGCTACTGTTAGCGAGGTTTTCCGAGAAACCCTAGTTACACATCCGAAAACCCTCGCTGCTACTGTAAACCTCGCACCATCTTCAAAATCTATTGTCGCTACTGCTTCGAAGTCTTCAACCCCCTTCATCTTATTCAACAAGGTAAGGTTTTTTATTTTTTTGCTTTTTTTTCATTATTATTTTTATTTCAAATAAATCATTGTGCTCTACTCTGCATCTAATAGTCCTAATGATTCTAAGCATCCAATGGTCCAAAAATACATAAGTATAGAAGTTACATTTTCGTGGTTTCATTTTTACGATTGTTTTTTTATTTTTTACTAGGTTTTGTTGTGTATATGATGAATCCCTAAATATACATCAGTATAGAAGTTACATTTTGGCGGTTTTATTTTGACTATTCTCTGCATCATTTTGGTGGTTTTATTTTTACTATTGGTTATTTTATTTTTTACTAGGTTTTGTTGTGTGTATGATGCATTCCTAAAAATACATTAGTATAAAAGTTACTCAATTTCTTACTGTTGGGAGTGAATTTCTTACTCAATCCCTAAAAATACATTAGTATAGAAGTTACTCAGTATATGATGTATCCCTAAAAATACATCAGGATAGAAGTTACTCATTATACGATGCATCCCTAAAAATATATTAGTTTGACTATTCTCTACATCATTTTTACTGGTGGTTGTGAATTTCTTAATTGTTTATTTACTTTTTTTATATAATATTGGTCTCTTTTAGTTGCATTTAATCAATTTATCAATTATATCAATTTTATGAAATGTAAGGTTGCCCCATTAGTGAAGATTTGTGTTGGTAAGATTTGTGTGTTTTTTTTATTGTTTTTCTTTTGAAATTTGTGTCTTCTATTGAATGCTTATTGCTCGTCTTTTGAATATATGAAATTGAATGGTTAAAAATGGTTAACCTGATATATGCAATCTGTAGTGTTAAAAATAGGTATTAATCCAGATTATGAGTGATAGCTTACCAATGGGTGGTTGGATATAATGAATTTTGGATAGAACAAATCTTTAATTATCAGTAATTAGAAAACCATTGGACCAATTAGAGACTTTCCCAAGTTGGCTTGGACCAACTAGAGACTTTAGTTCAATTTCAAGAAACAATCATTTTTTTCGTTTAATAATAGCATGTAATTATTGTTTGTTCACTTGTTATCCAGTAAATTTTTGTATATGTAACCTTATGATTAACATGTTGACCATATGAGATTTCAATGAATATGAATCGTTTATATCCCGATGGAGGATATCCAGGAGGTCCTCAGAACCCTAGTTTGCTGCAACTTCATCCTGGACATGCATCATATTTTATATGGGAAGGACATGTATATGCATATATATTCATTTGCCCTTTCTATTAATTTGTTATTCTTCAATAAATTGTACTCAAGTTCAAACATTCTATGAGAAGTACATATATATGTATTCGGACTAATATATTGTCTATTTGTTGTATTTCAGGAGAAAGAAGAAATTAGAATTGATGAGAATAGTTTTCAATTAAACGAATGGAAATTAAAAGAAGAGCAAGTTGAATTAGTTAATGCGTCTGGATTGGGTCCCTTGTCTATCATTCGGCCATACCGAATTGATCATCCTTTGGTCTCAGCCAATGTAGAGAGGTGGCGTTCTGAGACCAACACATTTCATTTCAACATTCATATTGGTGAGATGACACCAACGCTATTTGATGTATACGAGATATTAGGACTGACTGTGGATGGCGAGCCAATTACATGTCGTCCTATCAGTGACCTGCTATATTATATAGAAGAAAATTTGGGTATAGTCCCTGATGGCAACCTGACAAGCCTGAGGCATCCATGGTTGAAGGTGAATTTTAGGGAATTGCCACCTGATGCAACCCTTATTCAAGTTTATAGATATACTCGAGCATATCTGCTCTTCCTCATCAGTGTCACCATATTCGCTGATGTATCAGTTTCAACAGTGCCAACAAGGTACTTGTAGTTTTTTGAAGATATTGAGGGAGCCAGCAAATATGCTTGGGATGCTGCAGCCCTTGCATTCCTCTATCGCTCACTGGGAACAGCTTGTACATTCAAGCGAAGACATTTTAGTGGTTCAACCACTCTCATGCAGGTAACATTTTTTTTTGATATATGACATAAGCGTAATAGTTTTGACTGCTTTCCTAAAATATTAAATAATCTTCGTTGTTGAATTTATTACAGTGCTGGTCGTATGAGCATATTATGCATATGTGGCCCATATCGCCTAATATCTCTCCAAATTTTCTCAGGGCCAAAAGATGGGAGCCCTCGAAGAAATATCATGGCAATCCACATAACATAATGCCTCCCATCAGACAAGAATTTGATAACCTCCAACCTAATGATGTTAGTGTATAATTTGATATTGATTACTTCTGAATGTATTTAATCATTTGTAGTTATTTATATTGATTGATTGCATATCATATAGCAGGCAATATGGAATTTTTATTTCAAGCCTGATGAGGTCATTTCAGATGACAGGTAGGAGGCATTTGAAACTGCAATGTGCCTAAAGCTGTACATGCCAGATCGAGTACGGCGGCAATTTGGAGCTAAACATGGCATTCCTAGAAATCCCTTGGTTGTTGGTAAGAGGGCTAGCAGACAAGGTGGATATCAAAATTGGCGAAGTGTGAATGCAGATAAAATCCACCACTGGTTGTCTTGCCATGAGTGCTTGATGCATGATATTCAAGTAGATACTGACAATGGGTTGCCCTCAGAGGACTACAAGGAATGGTACAACCTAGTGTCCCATCCTCTAATACATAATGTCGCTAACCCACCCAAAGCTATATTGCAACCTCATAACTAGGAAGAAGAAGCAAAATATGTGGTTCCTGCTCATGAACCACAATATATAATGAGACCTCGAGGTTATGAGAACCAGTTGGTATGTTTATATTGACCTACAAATTTGTATAGTCTTGTATGTACCGATTAGTTTTATGAAATTGTTTAAATATATTAATTAGGTAATCTTGTTTGTGCAGGTTAATGCAGTTCAAGCATCTACAGTCATGTTAGCAGAGGCACTTACACTTGGACAAAAGTGGTATCCAGAAGTTTATAATCGTGTTAACAACGAATTTGAAACGTTGTCTAAGTTTGTGCCTGTTGATATGGATGACATAGAAGCCAGGATGACAAGTTTACAACTTGAATATCATAACAAAGGTGTACCTAATGAGGCCGGACATGATGGAGTGGGTGAAAGTAGTCGAGTTATAAAAGACCTAGCTACATCCACAAAACCAGCAGTTGAGGAGCCTAGAAGATATAACACAAGAAAGAAACAGTATCAGTCTAAGAGAAGGCGACCAATGTAATGGAGTCTTGACCCTTGTAATTTTGTTCATATCTTCATTTTGAATATTTTGGAACAATTAATTTGTTCATTTTGAGCGATGTAATGTATTGGTCTTTTTGACCCACCTTATTTGTTCAATGAATTTTGTTAAGTACAATTTGGTCTTTCTACTTTGTTAAGTCTGTGTTTTTTTGAAGAACACGTTGCTGGTCTTTGAGCCTTTGCATGTATACACACACACAGTTGAAGTCTTTGAGCCTTAGCATGTACCAAATCTATCAGTGATGGACTCATTGATAGGCCAGATTCTTGGAGCCTTGGCATGTACTGATGTCTTTGAGCACCATTATCAATTGGGACGAATCAAGAGCTATTAACCCTGAATTTCATACCAAAGGCGTGAAAGAATCTAAGTGTAGTGTGATTAGAAAAATGGAGCGAGGCGCAAATTGTGTCGAGAAGGCCGGGGGGGGAGGCTTTTGAGCTGATCTAAGAGAAGGGAGATCCAGTCGATTTGATATATATATTATATATATATATATATATATATAGTATATATATATATATATNTAGATGTGTTATACTATATAGTANNNNTATGTTGTTATNTATATAGCTAACTA